GACAGACGGCACATACTGTCAAAATGTTGAGTACCACCGGTTCTTTTCAGAACCCAACATACTAAAAAAAAAAGATATCCATAGTGCTACCGCAAACTTGTGTAGTTTGTGTTACAATATGTACAAAAATCGACCTGACACCTAACTTTTTTTTAGGAGCCAATGGCTCCTCACTTTACCTGTCAGCACTGCATGTATGCTAAATAATGCAATGTTATTTGATCAATGTCTTTCTATTAACAAGTGCAGTATACCCACACACTGAATGTTATTTAAGTTGTAAACCAATGACAAAAAATCTTGGAATCCTCATAAATCTTAATGTGCCTTTTCACTTTGAATTTGGATTCCCTGCAATGTGTACTTCATCAAATGAAAGAAATAGCCACAAAATCTTATGCTTTGTTTTATAGCACCTAGCAATAATGGTGTCAGATCTTTCCTTTATAAGTGTCTGATACAGCTACTCCCTCTCAGCTCAAAAACTAGTCTATTCGTTCTTTGGTCATATATTACTGAGATACATCTGTCATTTTGGACTCAGTAGTACCTTCTCACCCATTAGAATTATTTAGGAAACATGCAGGTTATTTTAAAGAGTATTTTTTCTAACAATCACCCCCAGAACCTGGCTTAGGTTCTGTAAACTTTCAAAATGATCAAAAGTCCCTAAACGAGAATAAAGTAAAAATCCCCAGTCTCATGCTTGTCTAGTTCGTGAATCTTACACTCCCCTGTCAAATTCCAGGAAATTCATAGCCCAATCCACCTTGGTCTATTCAGCTGTCATATCTTTGCTGATTGTCAGAACCCTTCATAAACCTGTACAGAATGTTTTATGGTCCTTTGCTTATATTAAGCTTGTTCCAATGATTAGTGTTGTGATAAAGCGTCCATAAAGTGCCCGTCAGCAAGCAGTATCTCAGCTTTTTTCAAGTTGGGGAGTTGGTTATCAGTTGTCATCAAGTAGCGGTGCTTCAATGCTGTCCATGTTTGACCATCGAGTCCTATAGTTTTTCACATCAGGTTCAGATTCAGATATTTTCATTCTCCTGCACCTCAATTCAGCTCTCAGAGAAAGCTCCATACTCTGTCCCTACCAAACTCCCATCCTTTTTGTGTTGTATTCCCTGCACCATCCTGCCAAATTCATCATGCTTAGGAATCCATGCAGCAGTCTTGCAAGAGCAGGTTATTCTGGTCAGTGGATGGAAAATAGTCAAAGAATGGAGAAGCATATCAGTCAGGTTTTCTATTAGCTCACCCCTTTTTTTTTTAAACATAAAACCCTTTTCCAATCAGTCTCAGTGGGTGATCTCCATCCTACATTTGTCTTGTCACTGATACAAGGTCAGCTTGCCTTCATTACAGTCCTATCACTGCCTGAGAGTTGGTAAAGAGAATCAGCCATGCATGAGCTTGAAAGAGAGGGAGGGAGCGTTTATGTTGGAACAGCCCCCTTTGGATCAGCTTTAAGCATTTCAGGGCCCTACTACCCCAGTGCACATGCACAAGTAGGCTCACATTGTACACACAAATGTACACATATGCTGTGTGTATTTGTAAATACACGTACATGGATGTACATGTACATGTGCATGTAATGTACATGTACAGGAAGAGCACTGTGTAGTAGGTTGTGGTCAGCATTCGCACATGGTTATACAAGTTGAACATTTGAATGATTATAAGGTTGTTTTATTGATGGAATAATTAGAATTACAATACATTGTATCACTGTAATAATTCTTCTCAGTTGTTTGACGCATGGAGGAAGCCAGTTGTGTTTGGATTTGTTTTCTTGAGTCTGCCATTTTAGTGGATATGCACGTATTTTGCTTCTCACTGTAATTATTTGTCATTTGTTTTCATTTTTCACTCTGCCAAATTTCATGAAATCCTTATTCATTTAGTCCCCACCTCCAAATCAAAGGGGGTATGCACCCTGATAAACCAATATGGTTTTTTGTCAATTTATGAACACTTCCCTGAATTGACATAGTTTTGCTTGCTTTGGTAAAAGATTTCAAGATTATATTAAATCATTGGATCCCTCTGTAATGTTCTGTTGTTATACTTTCATCTTCAAGAATTCGCTCTCCCCCTCCTCTGAAGAAAGCTGGAATTCAAGCAGATTATCTGCTGGGCATACATTCCACGTGCTGGAGACATCAGTGGTAAAAAGATGGTAAAGGTCTGCTTGGCAAAGGAATATTGTTTTAAGCAAAAGGCCTTGCTTTGATTTAGTTTGATTTCTCTATGTACTTGTTCTTCAGTTATGCATTTACAATCCCATTGCTATCATCAGGATTAATTAATAGTAACTCATGCACTTGGTAACTACCACATTGGACCTCCCTGAAGTGAGATATCCTAAGGCTTTGCATACATCCATGTACCTGCATCAAGAGCCAAGGGGCATGCAGAAGGCCGGCTGCAGCAGGGAAATCGGACACAAGGTTGGAATATTATGTCATGATCAAGTGGATCGTACAACGTGGACTGCGGAGGACTGCGTCATCAGCTGAATGGTGTGACGTCTTTCCACAGACAGTGGGTTAAATCAAGGGTACTGCGAAGGGAGGCAGGAGACACTAGTGTGACTACTAGCTGCAGCCATACTCCATCAGACTGCTGAAGAATAGCTGGCCTTAAAGACCAGATTTATTAAGGACATGGCCATTATTGATTCCCCTCAATCTTTTCCTCTTCCGGACGAGGTTGTATTTACCCTGTATATCCTGAGCAGTTAGTGAGTCGTTTGAGTCTCATGTCTGTTGGTACTTGACCCATTTCTACACTTCACAATGGTTTGGCTCTCAACTTGTAAATTTCTGAACAATACAGCTTGGAATGCTTCCTTATGTTTTTTTTTACCTTAATATCATCTATTTGTAGCCAGTAAGATAATACAGAATGTCAACCAAGAACTGTACAAGGCTGTACTGCCGAATTTCACTGGAGGATTCATGAGGAAAATGAGAAATTTCTTTATTTTTCATCTTAAACTTGCATGATATGAGATATGATACCTGTGGGACCTCATGATATGTCAGCCATAGCCTCAAGAATCTTGGTGCATTTTTGTTTCCCACAAGGCTTTAGAGGTCTCCGCACTCCTTCCTTGTCTGGTTCCTTCAAGATGGCCCTGGGTATCAAAGATATGAACCTATGCTGCTTCTCCTTTGGATTTGACTTAAACCAATTACAGAGAGGTTGGAAATCTCTCAGAGATCTCTTTTTTCAAGTTTTGCCTGGTGCCAAGCTTGCTTCTAATTCACCATGACAGTGATGTTTTTAAAACAGTCATACCATTACAGTAATAATGGTAAGACAACATCACTGCCTATTGGCCATTGCTTTCAGATCAAGAGCTTCCGTCTACTACTTATTATGTATTTATCTAGAGTATTTATTTTGGTGGTCATTTCATTTGTTTAGATTTTTGAGGAGTGTGGGAATTTTGTTTAGTTTTGTGGCATTATACTCCAGATGGCAAAGCATTGTGCAAAAAAATCCTTGATATCCCATTCCAAGGTGAAGTGGTTGACCATGACTTTTATACTGCACTCCATGGATGGTGCTAGTGGTGTGGTTATTTATGCTTGTGTGTGGTCATTTTGACCACAGGATGAGGCTCTTGTACTGTGCAGTGCAAAGATACAAGGACATACAACCATAAAGTAGATATTTTTGGACAACATTTCCGATTGTTAACAGGTCAGGAAATCTACATGTACGTTAATAGTAACTGCGCTTCAAAGATTGACACCGGGATTTTGTAGGGAGATGTCATACAAGTAAGATGTGAAATTTCAAAAACTACCAGTATGCATTCTGATGAGTGGAGTGAAATAGAATTTTCTTTTTTGTGCTTGGTTTTCAAGAGTCCATGAGAAAAATAAGACACCACAGACAAGCTTAATGAGGTGGGTAGAGACCCCATGACCTGTTTTAAGTACACATTACCAAATGTGTTCATTGGACTTGATTAAATACATTTATATACATGTTGGTAATGAATGTTACAAACTTAAAGCTAATAAACCACCTCAAAGCCTTATTTTTAGACTTTCTATTGAAGTGCTATTCTGGACCACACAGGTTGTAAATGACATATATGTGATTGTGACATAATGTCTATTGTAAAGATGCTACATCATACATGTTTATTGGAAATAAATAAAATATGAGAAAGTGTGCTGGCTAGAATAAACCACCTCAAAGCCTTATTTTTAGACTTTCTATTGAAGTGCTATTCTGGACCACACAGGTTGTAAATGACATATATGTGATTGTGACATAATGTCTATTGTAAAGATGCTACATCATACATGTTTATTGGAAATAAATAAAATATGAGAAAGTGTGCTGGCTAGAATGTGTGGAAAAATGATGGGTTGGACCATGGGATGGGAAATGTGGAAGTTAGTGGTATGAAATTGAGAAAGGGAAACTAGATGAGATTTGATCAGTGAAGTGGAAGAAAGAATGAGGAAAAGAATTAATGAAAGAAGAGAATGCATGGCATATAAGAGGGAAGTAGGAAGACTGAATGGAAAAAGAAATAGGAAACACAATGACCAAAGGAAAGGAAATAGAGAAGGGATAAAAGAGTCTGGAGAGGAAAGTAGTGAGGATATGGCTAAGATGGAAGGGGAAAACCTGGAGACAAAGTTGAAGTCAGAGGTGGGAAATGTTGGACATTAAAGAAAGTTAGGAGAGTATGACATTGTGGAGGAACAATTTACTGGGATATGGATGCTGAGGAGGTCTAGGAAGAATCAAAGGAAAGTTGGGAGATGAAGAGAACAGGAGGTAAATAGTTGAGAAAAACAAGGACAAAGAAGGACGACAAGTCACGGAAGATGTATAGAAAGAATGAGTTGAGAGAGTTCAAGGAGATCCTGGAACAATGAGTCATGAAACACTTGGCTCAAATCAGTCTGTGTCTTATCTCTTGACTAAATCTTATTCTACGTGTATCTTCTATTACTCAGATCTAGAGGCAGGATCAACTAACAGCGCCTTGCCTATCAACAACAACGATCATCCTATACCAAAGAGGAAGGGCAGTATAAAGTAAGTGCTCTTACCTTTCTGTACGTCAGGAGTCAATGTTCTGAAAATTCAGGAAAGGAAGAAGTAGTGTGAATAGCTGTCGAGTGACATTATTTTCTGAGAAACACCCCTCATCTTTCAACAATGTCTAGTTTTCCTGAGACTTCCCTGGACTTCCCTTGAAAAGTTCATAATATTCAAAAGATTAAAGAAAAGGACTGGTTAATTTAATTCCCAGTTGAATTTAATCATTAGACACCCAGGTAGTTTTTGCTTTCCTGTTTACTGGCTGAAACCGGTCTGAGAATTCTGCAAACTAGTGCTTTTGGAGTAGTCTCTCAGTTCCTAGGTATTTGCCTGGTTTTTCTGGAAACCATGGTGACAGTGATGATATAGCTGATCAAAATACAGTGACGGCATGGACATGATTTCCCAAAGTGATTGGCACTCACCATTGTCAGTGCGTCACACTCAGCATTGAGCTAACGTAAAACTTGAAAGGAAAGGAAAATGGGGGAAAAATCACCTTTCCCGTAAGAGGTCGGATGAACCCACGCCATCAAATTTTCTCAATATTTTCGTGGCTTACTCTAGAGCTTTAACCTATGTCACTCTGAGCCATTTCAAAGTAAGCCCTTTTTTTCATATTGTATTTTGATATATTCATGAGGTGTGTTAGTGACAGTTCAAGGAAGCTGGTTGGATGTATGATAATATCCCTCCTTTGGGAGAATATATTATAATATCCCTCCTTAGAGAGATTATTGTTCAGTTCAGAATTCCCTAAGCTGCAGTTTCCTGAAATCAGGAACCATGGCCTGTTTGATCCCACGACATTGGCTAGATCAACTTCCTAAGTTGTCAAAGGTACAAATAGGATGTGGTGTCATGCTCATGAATAGGATTCTAAGTATATACACGGTAACATGTACAAGGATGAGGTATAAGATACTACTGCCATGAGGTGTGCAGGCCAGATATCCGTTGGTGGTTACCAAAGCAGAGTTCGGTGTCATAGGTTGATTCAACATTTGACATTGTTCATGATCTTGACATGAAGTCCTCACAGCAGACACATTGACCAGATAATAAAGGATGAAGTATATATGTTCCATCAGCATTGTGTGTTGGGTAGTTTATCCTACGAAGGCTAAGGAATAAAACATTCTGTCACGGATATAGGCACAGAATTGCCCAGACTTGAACTCAGCATAACTACCCATTGTTTGTCATCTGAGTGATGTGCTGCCATCATTTGATCATCATTTACCATCAAGCCATCTGTGAAGTGTGGTTTTTCTTATCTCCTCGTCATGTTTAGGAAGTGGCTAACGAGCCCTGTCAGAAAACTAAGTACCAAACAATTGGAGAGAATAGACGGCCCCAAAGGAAGGAAACTCAACGAAGACTTGGCAGTAAAGGTAAGAACAAATACATGAATGGTTTGGTTGTATCATATGGTGTAGTTAGATAGGATTGACTAGATAACTAGTTTGGTTGTATCATAGGGTGTAGTTAGATAGGATTGACTAGATAACTAGTTTGGTTGTAAGCTGAGGGTGACTAGTTAAGTATGTGCTTGCAGTATAAAATAAAAGTACAACATCAAGGACATTGTCCTCACAAAATCTTCTGTACAACGGTCACTCAGTATTGCAATTTTCAGTCGTCAATACGCCCCATATGATTCCTCACACAGGCCTGTTTAAAAGAGTGGCAGCCTGCCTCACAAATACTGAAGATTATTGGTCAACACTTCCAACTTGCATACAAAACAAGGTTGAAAATAACTGGCGTTGAAATTCCTAGCATTTGTCATTACATGATCATTTCCTTCCATATTTCACCTTTTGGGTACTCCTTCCTGTAAGTCAGTCAGGAAGTGAAATAATCTTTTTCTTTCAGTCAAGTTATCGCTTAAAAATTGCATACCAGGTTCCTACTACTATCTACTACATTGGCACAAGAATAGACATGCCAGAATGCATTGTTCAGCACTGGAGCCACAATGGTGTATGTTTAGAGTAGGCATTGCAAGAAATGCCATCTCAGGCAAGCCTTGTCAAATGTTATCGAGACTAGCACAATATCTAATCAAGATTATTTGGAGTTAAGTTACGAAAGCTAATCTGTCTATCTTCATACACTGTATGTATTTTCTGTTTAATGAATTTCTTTTTTGAGGTAAAAATCCTTGCCTTTCTGACAATAAAGCGAAGCGAGATATTCTGCATTAGCCACCCATCTTGCACATATTTGGCAGCCAGTTTACATGGCTCCTGGGCACCCACGTTCATGTTTGTGTACGTGTATACACTCTGCTGTACCCAGAAGTATTACTGTACCACATGTTGGTCGTTGTTCCTTCGCAAGCAAGATTTTCCTTAACTTTCATGTCAATCAGTCCTAACTTTATTTCTTTTGGTTAAAACAAGTTTTCAATGTTGAGTAAATGTGTTGGGTATACCCAATAGTTCAGTATAACAGTTGTGTTACCATATTACAAAGCCGGTACATTTGTAATACTCAGTGTTCACTGAGGCATGTTGTCTGTTATGTATAGCTGTTTTCTTGAGACTAGCACATGGGCTGTATTTGACCTATCAACACTTGTAAGCATAACCGACAATTCTGTCAGAAATTGATAGTTTTGATTTTCAGCCATGCTGATTGATCAGAATCAGATCCTGTCTGATTTACACCCAACTTAAGGTTCATACATTTATTTTCAACAATGCTGTTTGGCCATTTTCACTCCCCTTTGAGAAACTAATCCATATCTTGTCTTCGGCAAGAGCCCTGGGTGAACGAGGTCTCAAGTCACAGTCTTGGTCAAGTCTTGATTGGTCTGTTACCTGTTTGAGTTGGCTGGAGCTGCTTAATCCATGCTAGATTCCTTAGCTTATTTGCAAATGATGAATAAGAAGTCAGGAATGCAGACTTGTCAGACTCACATGACAGTTATGTTCATATCCTCTTTGTATAGCTGCAGTGTGTGGACAGAGGGGATGGGCCAGCTGTACACAGTTATATGGTAATGATATTAATATGTGGTCTACTGTGTCAGGTTGGTGTGGTGGTCCTTGTGAAGTGTAACTGGTTGGGTCATGTCCAAGTAATATTCAGCGGTGTAGCAAATAAAGGGTCAGTCGGCAAATGAAACTGTAATTAACATCTTGAATTATTGATGTTCATTAGCCACCAGTGTTTCCCCTAAAGCCATGCTACCTGAAGGTGTTCTATGCTTACAAAATATCTGGCGCTCAGGGTTTTATCAGGGATATCCTGAAAGATCTGCCTGTCCTCATCAGCCTACCGAGTCCTGATGTGCATAGGTGCCAGTCTGAGTCGCGGCAATCCTCACGCATCCTCTGTTCCCTTATACAAGGCTTACGTATGTACATGTACATGTATCTTTGTGCTGTCCATGAAGCAGATCAATGTAAAGAAGAAATGGGTAGCAGTTACACAAGTTGGCAATCGAGGTTGGAACTGTGCCTGAGGGCGTGCACAGGTCAAGCAGATAGCCTGGATGGGGCCTGTCCGTATTTGCATATGGGTGGAAAATTGCTTCTTTCACGCAGTTTATAGGGTGATGTAAGGCTTTTTTACAAAATTCCATGTTATCGCTGAGTCACCTCAAGAGTTTTATTATGATCATTCTGCAAATTTTGCTTGTTATTATATTGTTCATGTTTTTGCACCTGATACACTGCCCAGTCAAAGCTAGACAAGCGGATGAGTCCACCGTTCGATCTTTCTTTATAATTACAGACTTTTATGCCACGTTAAGTTCTCCCTCTACCTTTTGGTGGCACTTTCAAACCGTAGTGCAAACTTTGTTGAATTTTGCTAATTATTCCAAACCGGGCCACTCATCATCATATTGCTGTACCATTGTCATATGATTATTACAATATCACCTTTTTGCTCACCCCGTCAGCCAACTGCAGCTTTGTCCTTAAAGTCAAAGCATTGCATATTTGTAAGGTTGCCAAAAAATGGAGTCTACTGAAGGAGCGGGGAGTTAAAACTGTAAACCGGTAGTTTGGGAGTAAGTTCTATTTTTCTTCTCTGTTTCACAATTTCGAAAAATGTCAATTTTCCAAGTGCGAATTCTTGTTCAACACACAAAGTGGAGGAAGGACGTTGCGCAAAGTTACGACTTACCAAGGTAGTATATGCCACTTGCTTTGCAGTAATCTCCTGTACAATGGGTCGGTTACATGGGACTGTGGCACTGTGCATGTAACAACCCCTTGCTATATACAATCTGTTGTTGATTGTGGAACAATTTACATTGTACACAGAAGCGGCACATAACATTTTGCGACTGTTTTCAGGTATTAAATCAATCATGCTGTTAACTGACTCACCGAAAATGTGAAATGATGAATATAATTCATCTTTGTTAAAAATTTGCAAATTCAGAAACAGAGGATCAAGCAGTGGGTGACAACTTGGCAAAATCAACGCTCACATAAAACAACTCAAAACACAACCTCCGTATTTCACTAATTATAAGCGTTACAGGTACTACTTAAGCGTCCAAGAATTACAAGTCCGCAAATAACCCCGTCACACGCCCCTAAAAGAAAATGCCTTCGCTACGCCGCTGGTGATATTCATATTTTAAGGCCTTTCACAGTCAGTTTCTTTGATACATTATAAATGAGTACTTACAGCTGTTGCTACAAACGTTACAGCCAACTGTCATGACCGTGTAGGATTAATATGAAATCCATTTGGTCTGTTCACCGTAGTTTGATCTTTGGAGGTTTATTTTTTCCTCAATCATTTCACCAAACAAAACATGGCTTTGAAAATCTAATGCTCTAACTCTTGTTGGATTGTTAACATTTGCTTCAAAATTGTCAATCACCCTTGCCTGCTTTCATTGGTAAGATGTGTCTGAAATTCCTCCATTTTCTGTTATCATTCGAGTTTTATTAACTATTTGGTCCAAACCACACCTACAAAGAGGCACTCGTTTGTACAAGTTTACCATATTATAGGGATGTGTCAAGAAACTAATGAAGGTTTGTGCTAGAAATATTTCAACAAGGTCACCGTAGCTGGGGTTAATCTCTAACAAACAAGTTCCAAGAAAGGTCATTACATAATCCTTCTTAGGTTTGTGATGTCAATCGCATTGTCCTTAGTAATGAGAATGGCAATATTCTGAGTGTTGTTTTGCCACACCCCTACGTCTTTCACAGTCTTACACCCTTCCAAGTACATGTAGATCCCTCTCACACAAGAGGGATCTACTTGGAAAATGACAACTGTGTGGTAAAACGTCATCAGGTGCATGTGCGCATACATGTATATGCAAAATGTTTTTACATGTACCTGTGCGTGTGTCTATCCAAATGTCTTCAAAATACGTTGCAGCTGATGCACGTCACAGAGATTTGACATCCAAAATGATTCACATGGTGTAGTCTGTAGGAAGTAAATGTAAGGTATTGTTTTATTCTTAGTTCACTCTTATTCCCGTGAAAGTTCCTTTTTTTGTGGAGTAGTGAAATTCTACATTCTAATTTTTTATTCGTGAAAATACAAATTACTTTCTAATGTTTCTGACATGTTTTTGGCAAATCAAAGAGACATATATATGTACATGAGTGGATCCTATCACAACACACCTGAGCACACTTCGTGTCATTGATGTATTTGAGTCAAAAATAATGACAGAAAAGAACTCCTCCCCGGGTGCTTCTTGTTGACTTTGACAGCTCTGGGAGGCAAAAAACATTTAATGTCAGGTTACTAGTGTTATCATAAATGAGTTTGCAGTTTCATATGGGTGTATAAGTTTGCAGGCTTGATGTGGCCGCTTAATGCAATTTTAATTTACTAACAACCCTCAAAATCAAAACTGGAACATACATGGGTTTTGTTGTGAAGAACCCTGGACATAATAGTGAGATCCAATCAAATGTCTCCAATGAAATCTGCATGCATTCATGTATAGTTTATCTGTGCTCCATATTCTTTCATTGCAACCTTTTTAACAGTACATTCTGAACTCACAAATCTTGATCATTGTTACGGGCTGTCTTTATTTGATGAGATCCCCCTGTGGCTGTCAACATCCCATTAGGGTATTAAATGGGGTCAGTTAACTGTCATAACAGCCATTATCACCTGCTGAAACACAGACAGGATCCATTGTCTGACCTATGGTCTGACCTAGTTGGACTTTGTTTGTCAAGATCGAGAGGGTCATGACCTCAAGGGGGTGTCACCAAGACAACTGCCTTTGTCTTCATGGATCTATGCCTAAGGGATAGGATTTGATTGGATGTTTATCCAAGAAAATGGATAAGCTATGCTGACCCTCACAAAGAGATTCTTTGGTTGAAAGTTAGTTTCAAACTTTGTTTTCACTCTCAATTTCTGATGTCTTTTATCAGAG